ATGATTACCACAATAAGTTCAGTGAACATCATCCCATACAGATACAAATTAAAGAACTAAAAAAATTTAACCCTTAGGATTTACTCTCTTAACAACCTTCCTATATAACATTGTTGTTTAGTCGCTAAGTCGTGTCTGACTCTTTTGCGACCCCAAGGACTGTAGCTCTCCAGGCGTTTCTGTCCATGGGATTTTCCAGGCAAGAACACTGGAGTAGGTTGCCATTTCCTCCTCTGGGGGATCTTCCCAACCCAGGGATTGAACCCACGTTTCCTGCATTGGCAGGCAGATTCTTTACCACTGAGCCACTAGAGAAACCTTCATATATAATATACAATACTGTTAATTATATTTACCACACTGTACATTATATCTCTAGTACTTAAAACTAGAAGTTTATACCTTTGGACTGTCTTCATCCAATTTCCTTCCTCTCCTCCCCTACCCTCACACGAATCTCTCTGTGAGTTTGTTTTCTAAGTTTAACTTATCTACAACATTATGTTAGTTCCTGTTATATACCATAGTGATTCAGTACTTCTAAACATTTCAAAATGATCACCACAGCAAGTCGAGTTACCATTTCATTGGCTATTTTGGCAGTCACATCATCAGGTGAATTCATAAGAACTATCTTTAGAGGTCAGTTTTTTCCCAATCTGTAAAAACTGTTAACCCAAATACTACAACCTGAATTCATCATTTCAGCTTCAGATCATTTAGACCTTCTTCAATTGTTAATAACTAGACCACCTAAATTTATCATCACCTACTAAGGCTTTCGGAACCATAAAAGCTTCCTCAAGGATCCATTTTTTAATCAGTAATCAATACTCTGGGTAATGCAATGAACTATTAATTCAAGTGGGCACACATGTATGATCGCCAGCAGTCACTGTATTAGTGAAAACAAAAAGATTAACCCAGTCCCTACACTCAAGGACTCAAAAGTCTAGTTTTACACGTTTACAATGTGTTAATACAGAAGTGCTACCAAAGATAGGAAGCATTAAAGGGTTAACACTAGAAGTGTAAATTAAAGAATTCACTGAATCTATCAAGCAATGCACATTTTTTAATTTCTTCCAAAATGATATCATGAGCTTTGTTATATGCACCTAGCTAGAAATATGATGAAAATAATAATGGCTTTCAAATTATATACTCTGAAAACTAAGGGCCAAAAATCATAGACCAGGAAACTAAGGCACAGAAAAGGTTTATGTATCCCTATAAATTAAGTAAGACATTGGAACCTACTTCATCATTTCCAGACTAGTTCCCTCATTTCCCCAGTGAGGAGGGAGCAAATTTTTTAATAAATCACATTATGAATGTGACCTATGCAAACATTTTTTTCTATCTATATATATACTCACAATCCATACATAAACTGATTTTTTTTCCTCATTGACCTTTAACTTGCTCCTCAAAAAACTAAAAAACTATCTCCTAATAAATAAAAGATAGGACTTCTCCAATTTCTAATTTCCTTATTTGTAAAAAGGGGCTAATCATTACAAAATCTATGCTTTGCAAAATTATTAATTCATGTTCAGACTTCTCTATCTACCATTCTTCCTATGGTAATAAAGAAATCAACATAATAAACAATGCATCCTGAAGAAATGAATGTCACCTCTTTGAGTGTACCACCCAGAACACAGAACCCAGAACTGAGTCCCTAGCATATATTCACTACCTTACTTAAATGCCCATTTGGAACACAAGAAATCTCTTAAAGCACAATTCATTACCAGTTAACTTATATCCCCAAACAAAAATCTGACACATCCAATTTAGCCTATTACTATTTGTTCTGTACCCCAGAGTCAGTATTAGAATGGTTTAATTTTATAACTTTATTCTCAAGTTTAACGTAAGACTTAAGATAGCAATAAACTCTAATGAATAGTATAAGAAACAAACAAGTTTGAGTGCATAACTGCTTTACCATATTTTCTTTTGTTAACAATATGTTCTCAGTGAGGTTTAACTTTGGGACAATAATGTGATCCTACAGATGAAAATAATATTAAGAACTGGTTTCTAAATTCAAATTTTCAATAGAATTTTCCCAGCCTCAAATTCCTCAATGGCAAGAGCAGGTGTTTGTTACAATCTTATCGAAGCACAATATCCTTATTCAAACTGAGATTTGTAAAAATAAATAAATAAAAACAACAACAGGAAATCTACGCCTTGCCAATGCAGGACACAGGTTCAATCCCTGACTCGCAAAGATCCCACATGAGGCAGAGCAACTAAGCCCATGCTCCACAACAGCCAGAGAGCAACGATACTGAGCCCCCTGCCACAACTAAAATCATCTGTGCCTAGTTCTGAGGTACTAGAGTCTGAGTCAATCTAGTGCATGCTTTGCCAAGCACACAGGATTGGCAGAGTAGGGATAAGGGTACGGTTACTGGTGACAGAGGAATCCAAACTTCTTTACCAGACTAGGAATTCAAGTATGAATGCTTCAAATAGCTTCTTTATCATTAAATCAATGTGAATAATGGTCAACCATGGAATTACATTCTTTTATTAATGTTTCCCTGACATTAACTTTGCTCAGACCTGGGGCTTCCCAGGTGAGTCACAGGTTTGATCCCTGGGTCCGAAGAAGCCCTGGAAAAGGAAATGGCAACCCACTCCAGTATCCTTGCTGGGAAATCCTACGGACAGAGGAGCCTGGCAGGCTACAGTCCGTAGGATCGAAGAGTCCGCTGCAACTTGAACTGACACGCTGCAACTACTGAAGCCCGCATGCCCTAGAACCAGAGTTCCACAAGTGAAGCCACTGCAAAGAGAAGCCCCTGCTCTCCGCTAGAGACAGCAACAAAGACCCAGCACAGCCAAACTTAAATATATAAATAACTCTAAAAACCCAGGAAATCTACTCAAATTTTTCTAAGGCCTCTTCTGGTGCAAACAGTTCTCTATACCAACTTCTACTTACTTAAGGTGTAAGCATCCAGTTGCTATTAGTTGATTCCACGTTACTTAATTCCTCATGTTTCCCTCAAACCACTAAAAAACAAGTTAAAACCTGGAGATATATGAAATTTTAAGAGAAAAATTAATTTTTTTTATTCCAAAAGGATACAAAATAATTTTTAGTTGTAACAGAAATTCCCACCTCTTCTATGGTTTACCTTTCTAAATTGCTGAAAAACTACTCAAACGCTGAACATAAATCACTGAACTAGGAGATAGGTAACTGCTTCTGATTGTATTGTATTTTTAAATTAAAATATTTTTAAAGATCACATTTTAGTCTTCACTAAAATATTTTGTCCTTAAAATTGCTTTTCAACAGTGTAATACAAAGCAATTTTGTCCAGTCTAAATTAAGTTAAATCTAAACAATATCCCTCCACTGTTTCACTAGTTATACTTTTAAGTATTCTGCTTACATTTTTCCTTCCTCTGAAACGTGGCTCATACAAGCATGTAAAAACAAAAATATTTTCTAATTATAAAACTGGAAAATAAAACATGTTCATCTCCTTTAATTAAGACAAACTATAATCAATTACAGAATGTCCTATGTCAATAGGAAGAGATCAATAATGCCTGAGACTCTAACCGAAGCAAAAAATTAAAGCTCACATAATTTACTACACAATCCTTCCCAATACAGGTATAATTAATGCTATCTAAGAACGTAAATGGAGAGGCCCCTGGGGTATTTTCTCTTGGGCGGTGTGTTTACAGAAGGGGCAAACACTTGCCTAGAATGTTGCAGATTTCTGGGCTGGCTTAAGTTCATCAACTAGATGAACTCTAAAGTTCAATTCTAAGATTCCCAATCTGTGAGTAAAACGAAACATAAAACACTGTGCCCTTCAATTAACCGATCTACCTTCACTGCCACCCTAACTGGACGCATGGAGACAAAAAACTTCTTTCTTTTGCAGTGATTTCAGCAGATCCTGGTTAACAAAAGGCAAGGAAAACATGCACAGGTGTGATAAAAAGGGGAATGGCTGAAATCAGGAGGTTCTCGGGACAGCGCCCCCACGTTCTCCGTCCCTCCGCGGCACCTGAGAAATCACTGCCCGCCACACCTCCACCCTTCCCGTGGAGGCGTCACGAGCCAATTCTCTGACCTATTACAGTCCACCCTCACCTGGCCAGACACTGGGCATTGTCTAGAACCTTCAGCGCCCAAGAAAGGCAAGTAGGAAAAAGAAAGAAAAGCGAGAGGAGTGAGAATAAAGAACAACAGAAGGGAAGTAAAGCAATCGGGAAGCCGTGCGATTTGGGGAATACTGGCTTCCCCAACGATCAATTTAATTCAAATCACAAAAGCCACCCCCCTGGCTGAAGACAGCAGCCAGAGGTGGCCCAGCTAGAGTCCCCGAAGCCACTCCGGTCAGAGCACGGAGACGAGGAGAGGGAAATGGGCGTGTGGGCTGGGCCTGGCTGGCCAGAGGCCGGACTCGGAACAAAGCCGCCCAGCTCCCCCTACCTGGGGCGACGGCGGCGGGCGGTGCCTCGCGGCTCCCCGCGTCGCCCCGGCCCGGAGACGCCCTCGCCCCAGGGACCCTCGCCCCGGCTCTGGGCCGCGGCGAGACCCCTCCCCGCCCGCGACAGCGCTCCTTCGGGACAATGGGCCCCCTCCCCCGCCTCTGGGAGGGGAGGTACAAAGGCAGAGAAGCGCGGCCCGGCACCGAGCCAGGCGTCCGGAAAGTGAAGGCGGCGGGGAGAGGGGAAACCGAGGATGGCGGCGGACGCGGCCACCGGCGGGCAGCTCCCCCAGCCGTCCAATTCGCTGCCCTCAGCCCCACCGCCGCGGCAGGGGCGGGAACGCCGACCAGCAGCCTCTCAAAGCTCTGCCTAGAGGGAAGAGGGGGTCTCACACAAAGAACAGCAGTACCCCCACCCTTTGCAAGCGCCGGGGACCGCCCGACGCGCTCCGGTCGCCGACGCCTGCCCAGCCCGAGTCCCTCTGGGGCCAGGGTCCGCGCGGGGCGCCCCTCTCCCCGACTCACCCACAGCTCCGTGCCCCAGCTCATGGCGGATCCTGAGGTCCCCCGAGCCGCCTGGCTGCCCCGCTGTCCGTCGGTCCGTCGGCTCTGCCGTCAGTTTGCCCGACCTCCCACTGGCGGGCTCGCGGCTCGGCTGCTCAGCCTCCAAAGGTGCCGCCACCGCCGGGTTCCCCAGTGAGTGAGAAAGACGCGACTGGAGGAGCCGCCGCCGACGCCGCGTCCCCGCCTCCCGGAGCCGGCTGGGAGGGGGCCAGGGCCGAGGGGAGGCGGGACGCGGAGAGGGGAGGGGGCGGGGCGCGATGCACCCTGGGATCTGGGCGGACCCGTGCTTGCCCGCCGAGGCGAGTAGGGTCTGCTCAGACTGGAGGGTCTACCATTCGCACAACTCTTCCTTCCCGCCCAGTCTGTTTCCTCTACCTCCGGGCTCGGACTGTCCCACTGCCGCCGCAGCCACTAGAATATCTGTCTCCAAAAAGGAAAGGGAGAGAAGGCAAAGTCGCCCACCGCCCTTCTCTGCCCTGTGACCCCTTAAATGAGGCGGCTCTTTACTGCCTCTTGCCTCCTCCGCTTGGGAGAAACCCAGATAAGGAAACCTCATCCAAATCCTTGGGTTTAGATTGTGGAGAGTTGTATTTTATTTATAAGGAAAAACAAGTCTTAATGGTTAAGGTGATCTTGGGAATCACTAAAACGTGTAGAACGTTAAATATAAATGCAACGTGCCTCTGATTCTGTTTTTAATAAAATATTTCTATAAGTTTCGCCAGGAAATCATAAAAAGAAGTCGATCTTTCAGCATTCATTTGGGATTGTTGTGATGACAGGGGTCTTCCCTGATAGCTCGGTTAGTAACGAATCCGCCTGCAATGCAGGAGACCCGGGACAGGAGATGGAAGATAATGGGAAATGTGACCCGAGGTGTCACCTGCAGGAAAGGAGAACTGAGCTTGCCCCTTTTCTGGAATGGGCACCTCGCGCGTGGGGGTTGGATGGGAGGCAGATTCCTAACCGGTAGCTCAAAGAACCTGTTCCGAACTTCGGATATCTTTCACTCAGAATATCGCAGCCCTGGATGCAGGGCCACCATTTCCTTTTTTCTCTGTGGAGTTACTTCCCGGCCTTACTGAGTAATCATTAACCGCAGTCAGCAAGTTTGACCTGTTGCTATTAGACATCAAAATACGCTTAGCAACTTCCTAACGAATGCTTGAGCATTAATTACTTGTCTCCTAATCACACACACACAGTTCAATCCAGTCACTAGTAGTAGAGACCTCCTCAGAGTGTCTTGACAGCTGAGTGTTTCTAAGTTCTCCCAACTGACTAGCATTTGAAACTCCTCCCCTATTATAGAGCCTGCTCAGGTGCCCCAGTCTCTTCCGTTTTAATCTTTGTTCCTGCCTAGCTGTACTTCCTCCTGGATTTGAGGTAAATATCCTGAGACTTCCTGTCTGTCCAGCCACCACTCTTGCTAAATTGTTTGCCGCAGTTTTCTGAGTCCAGCTAGAGCATACAAGTGCCCTCTTCCAAGTGGGTTGTGGCCAATATTTAAATGCTGAAGTGTGCTATGCAGTGAAAAGGCTGCTAAGCATTGACTAAACACTTTTCTCTTTCCAACATTTTTCTATTTTTATCACCTAACATTGCTATCCACCTCTCCTTAAAAAAAAATGGTATGCTTTCCCTTCAAAAGTAAAATAGTCTACCGTTCACAATAAAGATCATCAACCATACTGTTTACACAATTCCCCAACTGTACATAAAGTCTTATTTCCTAAATGAGCATTTTTCTTCTTCCAAAATTTCTGAACAGAGCTCCACACTTAGAGCAATTAATTTCTCTTCAAAAAGTTAGGTTTGGGGCCATTAAATTCAGAAAAAAAATGTGTTAGTCTACATTATCATAAAATACTCTAGGAACATTTTGGCTAACAAACACCCAGAGGTGTTTTACACAAACATATATAATCACACACACAAATATATATTAGCAGCATGGCAGCTTATAAGGCTGTTGATCTTTGTCATAATCAAAATACATTGGGTACTAAATTATTTTTGTATACAAGATTTAATCTTTATGGACCTATGACCAGGTATTTTGTGAGCAGTTCAAACACATCATTTTATCTCTAAAAAAGGTAAAACATAACTTTTAGCATCTTGAAAGCAAAGTCTCCTTTGTATAAGAGCAATCTATTATTAATATACTCCAGATATTATACCCAAATCATGTTTTGCATCATTTAAGTGATAAAATCTGTCAAACCAATTATATCTTTTTGTTGCTTGACCTACTTTGGGAATTCACTCCTTTGGAATTTTTTGAGGTAATCAACACTATATTTTTTTGAGGTAATCAACACTAAGAAGGAATCAAGGGAATAATATTATAAATTTCTCTATATATTTTTACAATGGAGCCACTCTACTGATTAAACTTGAAGGGACTCAAATTATACAAGCTTATTAGCAATTTTAAAAATTATTATACTGTCTTCCTATTTATTATGAAAAATAATTGTCATTTAATGCATTGTATCCTCTGGCATATAGTTGAACTCTACTCCATGATAAGTCATTGAACTGTTGCATTTTCTTTTGCATATTTTTATCATGTATTAATTAAAATGTAAGTCCCTTTTATAATTCTTTATGTTATAAATATTTAGCTAATGCTCTTTTCAGTTTCAAATTTTCCAGGCATAAAAGGCATATAGATGGCTAACAGGTACATGAAAAGGTGCTCAACATCATTAATCATCAGAGAAATGCAAATTAAAACCACAGTGAACTATCACTTCACATCTGTCAGAATGGCTATCATCAAATAACAAATGCTTATGAGGATGTGAAGAAAGGGGACCCCTCACACACTGTTAGTAGGAATGTAAATTGCTGCAGCCACTGTGGAAAACAGTGTGAAGGTTTCTCAGAAAAACTAAAAATAGAACTACCAATGTGACCCAGCAACTCCACTCCAGGGTAAATAATTAAAAAAAAAAAACACCCACTAATTTGAAAAGATACATGCACCCCAAGGTTCCTAGCAGATATATGTGTGTGTGTGTGTGTGTGTGTGTGCGCTCCCTTGGTGGCTCAGCAGTTGAGAATCCTTCTGCTGATGCAGAGTAGACACGAGTTCAACCCCTTGGTCAGGAAGATCCTCTGGAGGAGGGCATGGCAAGCCACTCTGGCATTCTTGCCAGGAAAATCCCATGGACACAGGAGCCTGGCAGACTTCAGTCCATGGCATCGCAGAGAGTCAAGACATGACTGAAGTAACAGAGCACATACACACAAAAATATATATGTGTGTATCACAATGAAATACTACTCAGCCATATAGAAAGGCTGAAATCTTGCCATTTGCAACAACATGGATGGCCTCATAGGGTATTATGTTAAGTGAAATAAATCATACAGAAAGAGATAAATTCTGTTATATCACTTATATTTGAAATCTAAAAAATAGACTAGTGAATATAACAAAAAAGAAACAGACTTACGGAAGTGGGAGGGAGGCTCAAGAGAGAGGGGCTATATGTATACTTATAGTCCATTCACATTGTTATACAACAGAAACTAACATAACATTGTAAAGCAATTATCCTCCAATTAAAAATACACTTTAAAAAATGAAACAGGCTTATAGATATAGAAAACAAACTAGTGGTTACCAGTGGAGCAGAGAAAGGGGGAGGAGCAAGGTAGGTATAGAGGATTAAGAGGTAAAAACTACTACGTATGAAATAAATAAGCTGCAAGAATATATAGTGAAACATAGAAAATATGGTCAATATTTATAATAATTATAAATGGAATATAATCTTTTAAATTGTGAATTTCTATTTTGTAACCTAAAGTTTATATAATATAACATCAACTACACCAGATATTTAAAAATTCCCAGCATGAATTTCCTTATTAAATCAGATTATGAAACATATTCACTGCTACTTCTGAAATATAGAACAATTTACTAGTCCACATGTATGAACCTCCAAACATAAATCAATCCCTGTCAAAATTAAATTTTTGCAAAAGTTTATTCCACGTACTGATGTAAAGTTAGTAAAAGTTCTACACAGTTTGAAAAGTGTTTCCAAAGATAAAATTAAAATTTAGATCAATTTAATATTTGGAGCATAGAAAAGTTTTCAATGCATGCATGCATCAATGTCCCATCCATAAATGATTACAAATTATACAGAAGCTCCATCACTGAAAGCCAGCAATCTCTAGCATTGCTGTTGTTCAATCACGCAGTCATGTCTGACTCTTGGCAACCCCATGGACTGCAGCACTCCCCACTTCCTGTCCACCACCATCTCCCTGAGCTTGCTCAAACTCACGTCAGTTGAGGCAGTGCTGCCATCCAACCATCTTATCCTCCTGTCATCCCCTTCGCCTCCTGCCTTCAGTCTTTCCCAGCATCAGGGTCTTTCCAATGAGTCAGTTCTTTGCTCAGGTGACCAAAGTATTGGAGCTTCAGTAACAGATCTTCCAATGAATATTCAGGATTGATTTCCTTTAGGATTGGATGGTTTGATCTCCTTGCTGTCCAAAAGACTCTCAAGAGTCTTCTCCAACACCACAGTTCAAGAGCATCAATTCTTTGGCACTCAGCCTTCTTTATAGTCCAACTCTCACATCCATATATATATCTCTAGCATAAACAGTAGCAATTCCTTTCTTGTCATTCAAATATCTTAAGACTATGTCTTAAAACTAAAAATATAGAGGCAGTGTCCAGAAACAGAATTATTACCTACACAGGATGACCAGAACAATCAAGCTAAAACTACCATTAGGGAGAATATCAAGGCAATGTACTTGGCACCTGTGTTTTAATGCTTCAACTGTAGCAGCACACCAGAAATGTGATCATACTAGAATACTGATTCACACAGCCAAATGAATAATGGTACCGGCTAGTTAATAGTAATCACTACTTTTCTACACTAACAGTTTTCCTAACCAAAAATTGGAAGAAATTCAAATGTCAAGAGCATAGTTTAAGGTGA